TTAATGCGGTGCGAAGCACAGCATTTATGTAGTCCGTCGCGAGTTTTTAATGCGGTGCGAAGCACTGCATTTATGTAGTCCTTCGCGAGTTTTCTTTTTTCCTTACTTACTTGACGTACGCACCGAAAGTAGTCATTTTGTGACGCGATGATCTCAAGAACGGAAAATCAGAAAAAATTCGTTGAAGCGCGAAATGAAAGTATCGAGATCGAACCGGTAACATCCGTTTTCTGATCTTTACTAGAAGGGATTGTTGGATTACAAATAATTTAAGAAAAAGACGAATTTGAAAGATTTTATATTCGAGATAATTAAAATAAAGATACCAAGAAAAGTTAGCCGCAAGTCTGTTCGTTCAATCAAAGCGATGTTTTAGATAATTAATGGATTAATGTAAATACCTGACATCTAGAGGAAAAATGTCTCTAAGTTCTTATGGAGGTTTCATAGTTATATATGGCAATATGTCTATCAAACTTAATTAGATTACAACAAAAAGAAAAAAACTTTGTTTTTTCTTATAAGTTTCTATTGAAAATATTTAAAATACTTTTTTTTTAATTGTTAATAATATGTATTCATTTCATTTTAGATTTTTACATCGTAGTTTACATGAAACAAAAATAAAATATTAAAACAAATCATTTAAAGAAAATTACCTATATTATTAACTTTCGAAAGTTTCTTGTCAAGTGTCGAGTTCATCTTCATCAAGTGTCGAAGAAGATTCAGTACGAAAGAAACTTTTCTTTTAATTCATAAATAATAAAATAATAAAAAAACATCATTTAAAGAAAGTCGCCTATTTTTTGACTTTCTAAAGTTTCTTGCTTATTGACGAGTTTATCATCGCCTAGTTTTAAAGAAGATTTAACTCGAAAGAAACTTTTCTTTTAATTCAATAATAATAAAATAATAAAAAAAAATCATTTAAAGAAAGTCGCCTAGTTTTTTGACTTTCTAAAGTTTCTTGCTTATTGACGGGTTTATCTTCGCCTAGTTTTAAAGAAGATTTAACTCGAAAGAAACTTTTTCTTTGAATTATCTCACCAAGTAAATCGATATTCAAGTTTCTCACTAAGTAGATTAAGACGCACTTTGTTTATATACGATCCTATTCTCATAGAGAAACTATCACCGTTGTAAGCGTCAACGATTTTGTTTCGTCACATTTTATTACAACTAAAATGGTTCGTAAAAAATCGACAGCAGCTAAAGCAAAAACACGTAAAAAAGCTTATGAACGAAGAAAAACTCAAGATCGTGTTAGTCATTCATGGCGTAAATTACTTTTAATTGCAACAGCTGCTAATAAATTTTTACGTTTTAGGCGTTGTGATATTGCTCTTACTTGTTCAACGTCTGATTCAAACAAATCACAATCAAATAAAATATTTTTGAATAATGTTAGTTTTGTTCAGAAAGATATAGAATTTAGATATGTCAATAAAATTAATGCTACGAGTCGTTTAGAAGATTTGAATGTTGTTCAGGCTACTATAAAAAGTCTGATTTCAAAAGTTTGTCGACGAGATTATGAACGAAAACGACAATTACAGAATAGAAAACGAAAGCATTCATCAAATACTTCTGCTAGTAACATGACGTCAGTTTTGAAATGCTCTAGACAATGTGCTTGGTTTCAAAATAAATATTCACATGATAGTTTATTTCGTAAAAAAGAAAGTACACGTGTAGCTACAATTTTTCAAAATAAATATACAAACAATATTGACTTTCGTGAAAAACAAAAGGCTCGATTAAGAACACATTTTTTAGAGAAATATAGAAGCAATACTAGATTCCGTAATGAAGACATATTTCGTTCAAAGACATATATTTTGAAAAAATACCATACTAATACAGAATTTCGTAATAAACACAAAGCACGTATGAAACAAAACGCTTCAGAAAAATACAATTCTAATCAACTATTACATTTGAAAAAGATTTCACAGGTGTTGAATTCTTATAAAAAAAACTACTCACCGATGATGCAAAAACAAAGACGACTTTATAATCAATACAGACGTATTTTGAACAAGTATAATGTTCTTCAAAGTCATATTTGTCTAGTTAAACATAGAAATTTATACGTTAATAACTTAAGCTTGTTTCGAAAAATAAATCGAGAAGGACCAGACTGTATTTGCATAGTATGTCGGTTATCATTGTTTCGTAACCAAGTCATACCTTATGTAGAAGAAAAATATATAAAAACGAATATGTCACTTGAAACTAAAGAACGTAGTAAATCTTACTTAAATAAATCATTGTCAACAGAAAAAGATTGGATTTGTAAAACATGTTCAGATAAAATAAAGAAAGGACAAATCCCAAGTAGAGCAATTGTAAATAAGCTTGAGGTAAGTGAGATTCCATCTGAATTAAAAAGATTAAATAATCTTGAAAAACATTTAATTGCTTTAAGATTACCCTTTATGAAAATTGTAAATTTAACATCCGGTAAATTATCAAGTAGATTTGCACAAAAAGGTACTAAAGGACCACTTCATTGTGTACCATCAGATGTACAAGATACAGTAACTATCTTACCTCGCCCAGTTGA